ACTTCAAGGAAAATAATAATCAATAATTAAATTAAATAATTGAAATAGAGATTTGGGACCAAACCCTCAGAAATATCAAACCTTTCACGTCTAGTGAGAAGGCAACTTCGAACTTGGCTAAGTGTGTCTAGATCTTGTGAATGCGGAATTTTGTATGCAAAAGCTAGTTTAGAAAAGAGAGAGAGAGAGTAATCAAGAGATTCTTGATGAGAGTTGGTGATTGAAAAAGGGGAGATATGCCCTCTATTTATAGAGAAAAAAGAGAGTCGAAGAATAAGAAAATAATCCGAATTCGAATCGAAATAAAACTCGATGGACAGTAGTTTTTCCGGATTTTGTTTTTATCATATCTTTTGATCCAGAAGTCCAAATAAGGCATATAATATGTCGTTGGAAAGGTCTTGAAGTCTACGTTTTAACCCAATTATAATCAGATTAAATCGTTTGTAAATAAAAAGATATGGCCGAAGTAGTAGAACGGTGTCAGTTTTGGATAGAGTTTCATATCTCATTCATATCTTTTTCGTTATAGCTCAGATTTAATATTATAATAAATCATTGGAAAAATAATTTCAAGATATATCCAACTATATAAAATTTGGATAAATATTATAAGGCACAAAAATAAAATCTTACTGTCCTTGAACATCATTAATTTCGAATAGAATTAGGATTTAAGAAAAAGGAAAGTTTTTATTTAACTCAAATTCTTAAATCTTATCTTTTCAAAAAGGATAATTAAGAACTTTTAGAAACTTATAGAGGCTTCTAATTAATCCTAATTAGTTTAGGAATAGGATTAAACTTTTTGACCCTCCACATGATCATTGGGTCGTAGGTAAAATCCGGTTTGGGCCCAGTTTAGTATTTTGATCATAACTTCCTCATTATTCATCGGAATTGGGCTTATAATATATCGTTGGAAAGGTATTTTCAAGACCCATCCAACTACACCATTATTGGACCCATATCATGGACTAAACTAAACTGGAATGCACGTTTTTCAAAAATAGGGTAAGAAAAGAAATATTTTCAAAAACAGAAAGAAGAGATATTTTAATAAAAACATCCTCATCACTAGACTTTTCACACTTTCGCTTTGTTCGATAATTAAATGACATGAAAGGTATTCATCACTGGGTTTGTTTTGGGGAGACACATTTGGGTGTCTACAGTAAGCAAGGTCACTACAAAAGAGAATGTAGATAGTATCTAGAAGATAAGGCAAGAGGAAAAGGAGCCTCAATCTTAGGTATCATCTTGACACTTGAATACAAGAAAATTATAAGGTATTAGATACCCAAAAATTGACTCACTTTATGCTCCTATTTTAGGAACAAAGTGAGCAGCGCTTTTCAAGGGGACATGAGTACACAAGTGGAAGATGAAGATAATCTATCCAAGGAAAGCTTGTAATCTCATGTGTTTTGTCTAAATTCTAAAACTTGTTTAGTTTTATCTACCATACTTTGATCTCATGACGTAAGACGTCATTTTAACTTTGATCGCAAGACTTTTGTTTCATGTCTTGTTTACATTTATTTAAATGACACTTTTGTGTGTTCACACAAAATTGTTTATTATGATACCGATCTAAGACCATGGAGTTAAATCAGACTTACTTGTGGCATTGTCGTCTGGGCCACATTAACATTAAACACATCAAGAAGCTTCTACATGAAGGTGTAATGAGTGTAATTTATGGCACTCATATGGTTCTCTTTAGGGTGAAATTCATGCTATTTTATAGCTCTTTTCTTTAGTTTTTCCTTAATTTTACTCTTTATTTATTTAGTTTGCATTTTCTTAGTTGAATTTCTATTTTCATGCATTTCTTGGTTTATTTTGTTATTTTCACTTTTATTTGCTTGTTTTCGTTCATTTTTTAGGTTATGATTGTAATTCGAGAATTCCCGAGTCTCCTTCCCAATTTTTACATCGTTTGAGATGCCTCTTGCTTACCATTTGAAGTTCAAGTTTGAAGGAGTGTATAGTCCAAGTCTTCTAGCTCGCGCATGAAAGCAGTGGGTACACCATTCTTGGTGTTAAACCCACTATGCGGCTATTTGGAGACTGCCTCCTCCCATGTTCATCAACATCATCAAGTGGAGCGCACGAGAAAGAGCCACTCAAAGGTGAAGGAGGCTGCCCTGCTCGCAGCCACGGCCGCGCAGCCTGGTGGCACGGGCGCACCTCTCCCGGGCACGTTCGCGCCTCTCAGGGTCTCTGTTCCGTACCCAGTTTTGCGCAGCCGCGCTCCCCCATGAAGTTGGCCGCGCATGTACAGGTCTATTTTTGATGATCTAACTACCTTTTCTTTGTTAATTTTACTATATAAAGATTTTCTCTCTATTTTTAGATAGAGAGTTAGTTCTTTTAGAAATAGAATAGAATTAGGTTAAATTTTTTAGAGAGAGAAACTCTAGTTTGTAAAGAGAGAAGTTCTTGATTGATGATTGAAGATTAATTATTCTAAGTATTTTCTCCATTGATTTGAAGGAAGTTTGTAAGGATTTCTTTTACTTTTATACAATCTTTAGCTTTTGATTTCAATTTATTTGTTAATTGTTCAAGTTTGATTTATTTTAGTTTGATTAATATGATGATGATGAATTTGTTGTTTATCTTAGTTTTGATTTTGATTTCCATGGATTGTGAGTAGTCTACTTGCTAGGGTGATGGTGAAGCATATATGAGTAATGGATTGATGCTAATTGCGGGAAATTGATAGAGTTGATGTTGTGATTAAATTGGTTGATTGATTATGTGCATGTGTATGTTTAATTTAGGATTGATCAACCTAGTTACTCGCACTAGATTGCATTGTAGGTTCACATTGATTCGGACAATTGATTTATGGCTTGAATTTGTCGATTGAGTTGGTTTGTGAAGTTCCTAGCTAGAGTCTCTCGTAGTTGGCGCTATTTTGACCTCTAGGAGAATAGCTTATCAAACTCTTTTGATTGCATTATTGATTTTCCCTCGCAATACTCGACTTAGTCAATTCCAATTCCGATTAGTTGTATCCATTGCAAGTATATGTGGATCCTAAACCCTAGTGTTTGATATATTTGATTTCATCTTGATTGTTTGATTGGCTTACAATATACATGTAACACCCCCAAATCTCCCTCTACGGAAATAACAGTATAATATGTATAATACCGTAGAGATAGAATTATGCGTATTACCGCCGCGTGATTACGCAAGGCTACTCAAAATACTTCACTCAACAACAAAACTTGCAATGGAAACACAACTTTCTTTTATTAATACTTATAAAAATAGTAACATTGTTATGAGTACTCAAAATAAAGACAAGACCAACATTCCTAAAATAGGTGAAGCAAATCTCGGGACTCCCATATGCTCATTCATGACTCCACCTGAAAATAGTCAACAATACTTACCATTACGCTAAACAGGGCGAAGCAAAACCAATAAGAAATACGGATTCGCAAATTATGCTAGGTACGATAAGTGCAAGATAGTGTAAACACAATTTATTTGCAAACATGCTTTTAAAACTAATTCCAATAATTAATCCAATAAATTCAAAACTCATTATTCCAAAACCGATTCCAATGATTCATATTCAAATAATAGTTAATAAAACCAATTCCTTTATTAAGAGCCAATTCCTTTTAATCCAATTCCTCACCCAAGTGTGCACACCCCCCAAGCTAGTCTCTTTATATTACAAGGCTATTCTTGAGGAAAGACCCAGTCATACAAAGTCCAAGGCCTTATCAATAAACCATATCCGCGTAGTGGGATTACTTACATGCTTATAAAGTATTGATAATAATAATTCAATGGTTTAATAAATCCTTTTGATATTCGATAGTTCCCATACAATTCAAAGTCCTTTTTAATTAATTCTATATGCTTTCAAAATCAAACCTTGTAAATAAATACTTGAGAATAAAATCTCATAATAATAACTTTTCAAAATCAACAACTTTTCCTTGAAAAACCTCTATTTAATTCAATAAACCTTTTAAAATAAATTCCTTTATTTAAACACGAGAAGTAATCCAAACCATTCAAAACTTGATTTAAAAATCAATCATTCAAAATACTTTTATTAAAATCAATACCATCAAACATAATTTATTTCAAAATCATAATTCAAATCAATTTAAGTCAATCACCAATTAAATCATGTAAAACATGTTATTCAAACCAATCACTTTAAAAGTATCTAGCCTCCTAAAAGTACCTTGATCCTTGCTAGAAATACCATACAAAAAGAACCTCAAGAACCTTGATCGAACACACTCGACAAATAAATATAACCTTAATCAATATAAGGTTAACAAATAGTTAAAATCCCCAACTATATATACATGAACCTTTTAAATTAATTTCTCATAAACATCATTAAAAATATGATTTAATGTAATAAAAACTACTAATAATAATTATTTATAAATAACCCATAATAATAATAATAATAATAATAATAATAATAATAATAATTGAATAAGAGAAGAGAAGAAGAAAATATAAGAAACAAGGAAAAGAGAAGAATTGGATTTGCGTTGGAAAGAATAGGCAGAACTTGCAGAGGTTGTAACTCCTTTGATATTACTCTGTACTACATTTTTTATCTATTGCAACCCTTAAATTCGTTGTACCGTGGCATCTACTGGCGTTGCAGTAGCTCTAATGCAACGACATATGACACCTAATGCCACGACATCAATGATCCGTGACATTAGATCAATACCTAATGCAACGACAACAATATTGTCGTGGCATTAGCTATAATGCCTAATGCCACGATTTCCTATACCTAATGCCACGGTTTCCTAAACCTAATAATAATAATAATAATAATAATAATAATAATAATAATAATAATAATAATAATAATAATAACAATAACAATAACAATAACAATAACAATAACAATAATAATAATAATAATAATAATAATAAATAATAATAATAATAATAATAATAATAATAATAATAATAATAATACAATTAAAATCAAAAATTTCAAAAAAAAAAAAAGAATTTTATTAATATGAATTAAAAGTTTATACAATGTTATCTATAAGGAAAATTACAAAATTAAATTATTACTAACTAAACTAAATAAAATACACTTAAAAGTTAAAACTAAATCATTGTCCCCCAAACAATATTTTGGGCAATTCTTTGAATCGCATTATCATTTTTTTATCTTTCTTCTCTAATTTCTCAAGTAAAGCAATCGGGGAAGCATCTTCTTCTGCTTCAATATCCACCTTTAGCACTATTTACACATATCCAATGGATCTTGATACCCTAATAAACAAAACACACAAACAAATCAAATTAGGATTATAAAAGAATTGAGCACTCAAAAAAAAAGAAACTTGAGTTGAACAATATATACAAAGTTCATAAGAAGGTTCTTTTACATAGTTAAGAAGGTAATCTTCATCACATTATAATACCGACCATATTATAGTAGATACACAAAACTACTCACATTAAAAGCAGGCGTGTTCGCACAAGATATAATACATTATAAAGAGAAATTAAAATTGATTACCAAAAATGAAACCCAATGCAAACGAAGATACAAGTATAGTAGACTCCTCAACCTCTTGCAGCTTTTGTAACAAAAAAATAAGTCAAACTTACAAGAAATTCCTTTCCCCTCAAGCATAGTTTCAACATCAACAAAAAAATGCAACAATATTGTATGTCAGACCACGCAAACAAGAAATATGAACTTTAATAACAAAAACAATTATGACCAATATTAGAGCCATCCTTAACATGTCCATCAGCATGAAAACTATGGCTATTTAAGCTAAATACGAGGAATAAAAACGAACTTAACCTCAAAAATCACATAAAAACTGAAGCTCCAACCACAACTTAACAAGCTCCTCAAACCAACTAGCACAATATGAAAATAAGTTAAGAATTGAAACTGATAACTATCTGGGGTGGGCTACGGTGGTAGTTGAGAGTGAGAGTGGTGGCAATGTATATCTCATATTTACAACATTAGTGAAAGTACATACAAGTCACAAAAACTAGATAAATTTGACAGAAAAACAGTTGCATAACAAGTCATTTTTGTCTCCCATAATATATTACAAGAAATAGAGAGATCATTTACCCCCCCCCCCCCCCCCGAGCGAATACCAATATCATCTATGATGAACGCCAACTCTACTTAAGATCACAAATTTCATTCTGAAAACTTAACCTCCTCTTAAAATGTCCAGCTAACCGGTAAGTTACGTTCTCCCACGGGCATCATTTAAGTTCATAAACTTCTTTCCAATAACGACTTCAAAAACCAATCAAAGTTTGCAACTTATGTCCAACCTCATTTCTATGGGAAAACAATAAGAATTACTTCATTCAACATTTACATATCCGACACAGCCAAGCTTACATTTTTCATTATTGTCCCATGTTTTTGTACATACAGCATATTGCATCTATAATACCACTTTAGCCTAAAATTTTATGCTTTTCATAAGACTCAGAAACACCCACAAAAACCCCAATCAACAAATTAAATTTTTTCACATCTTGAAGATATAAAACGCAAAGTGGCAATTGTATAAAAAAACAAATTCACTTAATTTGAACATACTAACTCTAATGCACCTTAAACTCAACCTAAAAAAGGAAAAGAAAGAACCTTCAATAGCTTCTCTGAGAGTCTTGAAACCCAAACCAATACTCTTCCAGAACCTGTTTCCTCCTTTCCCAGGTTGCTTTCCCTTTCCAGGCCAGTTTTCCTCGAGCTGCATTTTCCATAAATCAATTAAAAACAAATAATTTAAATTAATTAATTGAAAATTTTAGCATTCACAGAATTTGTAGATTACCTCAGAAACACTTTAGGCTGCTTCAAAAAGGCCTTCTGTGTCTTTTTTACGAAATAGCGAAATGTTAATTAATAAAACTAAAAACATACAGAATATAAATACTAGTAATAAGATTGAAATTCAAATAATCGAAGTAAAGAGATAGAATAAGTACCTGTTCCGCCAAAATTGAGGGGTTGTAAGATGAGGTTCAGGGGAAGCAATGGAGGCGCCGCAGAGGAGAGATAGAGAGTGAGAGAAAAGGAGAGAAGAAAGAAGAAGTGGCTTAAACCCAGCAATTCAGCATATCCACATTCAATCAAAACCTTTTTAATCGGCAAAATGGTTCGTCAAACCAAAAACATCAAAAAAAAATTATTAGAAAATTTAACAAATTACAACAGATAGAATTCCAAAAATTAATCGAAAAAATAATCAAGATTATGGAAAGCAAAATCAAATACAGATAATAATTAATAAATGTATAGAAAAACAAAAATAAAAGAAGAATAATCTATTGCCGTCGATTATTAGGGTTTGAGAGCAATGAAAAAATGCAGAAAATTAGAGATTTAAGAATCGATGAGAGAGAAAGATGAGAAGGAGAGAGGGAAAAAAAAAGGAGAAGACGAGAAGAAGACGACGATTACAACCTATTAATTGGGTGAAGAAGTGAATTGAACCTGATTGAGAAAGCTGGGTGGATTGGGTTTGTGACCTTGTAAATTATTCATGAAAAAAAATAAAATTGGGCAGTTTTCTTAGAAAAGCGTGAAACTTTTAATTTTGAGAAAAAATTAGGCGGACTTCTTTGACGCGCCTAGTTAAAGAGTACATATTTTTAATGGTCATTGTATTAAACAACCCTATTGCAACGGCTAGCTCTCATCCGTTGCATTAGGCCCTGTTATTAAGAAGGTATGAAGAAGCCGTCGCAATAGACCTAGCTATTGCAACGGTTATGAATGCAGCTGTTGCATTAGCCATAATTTAGCTGTTGCGTATGATAAAAAATGTAGTAGTGTGAATTGGGTTATTCTTGGGCCTAACCTCAAGGATTTGTTGAGAGGAACAATCTTCTGTGAAACGTCAATACCCCAAAAACAGACCAGAAGTGCATGAAAATTGGCTTCGAAGATAAATGAGATGATTTGTGTAAAAAGAGAAGAAGAAAAGTAGAGAATTGGTGTGAAGAATGTGAGAGGTATGGAGAGGTATTTGTAGGCTAGCTCATTCAAGAATTATGGAAAGAGAATTTGGGAAGTAAAATGGTAAGTAGGGTTTAAGGGATTACTTGGAGAAGTGAGTAAAAGAATTAAGGAAAGTTTGGATATTAAGGGGATTATGTATACTTTAATATGGAAGGTATGTACGTCATGAAAAGTAATAAGGAAATTAGAATTACATGGGGTTTAATTAAGAAGACTGAATAGCAAGAAAATATGATGATTAGATATTAAAAAGATGGAGAATTAGAATTAAAGAAAATAAGATATTTTGGAAGATAAGTTAAAATATAATTTTACTAATTAAATTCCCCCAAAAAAATTCAATATGGCCGAAAATATTGAGCTTACCATAGCACAAATTTTCGGACTCCTATAAATAGTTTAAGAAGATTTTTCTCGGTTTTTAAGGAATAAAAAAATTGTATAACTAATATAGAATAAATAATAAAATAACTAATTAATCAAATACCAATTATTTACTAATAAATAATCAAGAAAAATCAGATTTTCCATTCATGGGAAATCCGAAAATCCTAGCTAATTATCGGACAATTTTTTCCATTAAAAAATAATTAATAAAATATTATTTTGTTTTAATTAAAATATCCAAAATATGTAAATAATCCTGTTTTATAATAGGATAAATGGATAATATATTTTCTCCAATAAAAATGATTAATTTTCAAAATACTTTTGGGCCAAAATTCAAATATTATTTTGGCTCCAAATAATAAATTTACTAAAATACCCTTTTTATAAAATAATTCATAATTAATTAATTAGAAAATACGTATGAAAATACAGGGTATTATAGTCTACCCCCCTTAAAATAAGTTTCGACCCGAAACTTAGCCAAAAGAAATGAAAATCATTTTGAAATTATTGGTTCATGCACAATCCTAACTGGACTCAAGACTCTAACCAAACTCACGTAATACTCGAAATCACTCAAAAATGACTCGAAAAGTAGATGCGCAAAACTCTATCACCCTCTACCCTCCTTAATTACGCCCCCGTAACTCGACTAATTCATTAGCTCACTAAATAAATCAACTATATGAACAATTTATCAACAATCATCAAGCAAAGTAAGGAGCTGAGAACCAGAAAGTTTCAAACATCCAAGGAGCTTAGGTTAAAATGATTTGAATACGAATAAAAGTAGTGAGTAAACTCGAAAAATATTTTTATAAGTTATTCGAATAATAATTTAAAATACTTACATTAAGAGAATTTGTTGTAAAAGTCTCGTATATAATTACAAAGTATGATCTGAAATAAAAATATTTAATAAAAGAATTTATAAGACCTATGAAAGTTTTCAATCTAAACAATTATTTAAAAACAAAGAATACAAAACTTTATTTTGAAAACTGTGTATTTGAAAATTCATTTTGCATACTTGTAATAAAATACTTGTTTTGATAAAATCCTTACTTTTTCATAAAGAAACTCAATAATCACATATTCAACTTCATAACAAACACTGTCATGGGTACTAAGCATAAAAGGAACACATCTTATCTTGACTTTCTTATCGCTCATAGATTAATAACTTATCTTAGGGTATCCTCCAAAACTATTAACAACTTCCTCAACACATTCATAAATCCTGATAATACATCCTTAAATCGTAATCATTAACTCTTGGTTACTTCATAATACTTCGTTTTAAACATTTAAAAAAACTCGCTCATCTTTTTCTCATAACTTCAAATTCCTCATTCTGGTTGTTATAGTCAATAATTCATCTTTAAGGAAATTCATTAATATCACAATGCAATCATTGATTATTCCATCATTAATAACTTCTCTATATCAATTAACTTTGTCGTCAATCTCCTAGAGTAACTATCCAAACAATAGTTCTTTTAACTAACTTCAATAAATCCCTTCACAAGATATTATTCCTTCAAAATAAACTACGATTTAAAACAAACACCTTTATCTCAATAAAAATTCTATCGTAGTCGTCGACTACGGATGACTACGGACGACTATGGATGACTATACTAAGGGATTAAATCTGAACCGTTGATTTATTAGTTGTCTAATCATAGCCACCTAATCCAACACCTAAGCTACACAATCATCCAAGGATTGTTTGGTTACTTTTTTTCTTTTTTTTTTTTTACACATATGAATATTTTTCTTTTCATTAAAATTGAAAAAAAAAATTAAATATTTCATCTTCAACCTAAATCATCTTTCACATTATTAATCTTTTATGTCATCTTCATCCTAAAGCCTTCATCTTCAACCAATATCATTCATTCTCCAAAAAAACTAACAATTAAGATTTAAAAATTCATTAAAATGTTGTTTGGTTAAATAATGAAGGATTAAAAATAAATTATTTAAACGTAATTAGTTTCATCTTCAATTTTCATCATAAAAAATGTTCAACTCAACCCTTATCAATGGATTGTTAAAAGAAAAATCTCCATTGCCAATCTTAACCTTTATCATCAATTTCAAACATCATTCATCAATAATGTGAAATTAGTAATAAAAAAAATGATAATAATTACATTAATATCTATGTTTTTTTAGTCAATATAAATTGTAAAATGATATCAATTACATATTTTATGTCTAAGCCAGCATTGATGAACATCAAGGATTAGCAGTTAATTCCTCAAAAAAAAAAAAAAATGGGAAATATGCGTGATAAGATCATAAGAGTATCTTTTAGTCTTCAATTCTCCACCATCTTTGCCTTAAGATAGGATCATAATATTTTATTAAAATAATATTTTTTAAAAATATTTCCAAATGATAATTTTCTTTTTATTTAAAAAATACTTTATGTATATTATTTATACATGGATTTTTTTTACTATTTTTGCATACATTTAAATTCTTAATTAAATTCTTTCAAAAAAAAATCTTAATTAAATTTGTTTGTTGTCAAAAAAAATTAAATTTGTTAAAAAAAAAAACCTTAATTACATGTATTGGAATATTCACTTTTAATTAAATTTTCACATAGCAAATTCTAATGTACTATGTTTAATTAATAATTATTAATAACTGTTTTTCAAAAAAAAAATTAATAAATAACATTGTTGTGACACAAGAATATCTTAAAATCTTTTCATCTTTGCCTATAGTTAATCACTCGTCATATTTAAGTTAATAATATCTTGTTTCTTTCTTTTACTGTTTTTTCTACAACATAAATCCCCAAAAAGAATCCCATTACAAATTTAAACCTTGGTGATTTGTGATTTAAGGTGGAATATCCCAATATATTTTCATCTTTTCCTATAATAAGTATTGTTTCGGGGTTTTCTGATGTCCTGCAGGAGAGTTACAATTTCGAGACTGGATCCGTGCGCTTGTACCTGCAAAACAAACGGAGACTTCTTGTGGTAGGAGCTCCGCCTCCGACGATCAAGTTAGTACTTGCTTGAGGAGTGATAAGTGCGGAAAGTAAAGGTGGGAGATCTGGTTCCTCTAGGGGAGGAGTGATCAATGTGTTTTGGTTTTCTCTAGGTGAGAGTCATTCTGCTGAATCCCCTTTAATGAGGATTAATTAAGTATTTATAGTCTTGAGAAGCGTGCCAATTTTAGGTTTAGGTTAACCAGGGCAAATTGGGCTTCTCTCGGACTTTGGGCCTTGGTGGCCATTTTGCCTATTTGGCATATGGGAGGCCACATGGCGTGGCCTGATTAGTCCATGTTGGACCTCTTAGGGTGACAAATGGCGGACGCTGATTGGCCCACGTGGTGGACACGTGGCAGGTCCGGATTGGTCCATTTGTCATGGGTAATTTTTACCCTAAACATTTGCCCCTCGGAAGGAGTAATTTCTCTTTCTAGGAGGGATTGCTCCTTTCGAAAGTTAGACCCTCGAAGCTTTGCTAGGTCGGCATCTTGTCTAGTTCTAATGGGAGATGGACTTGATTAACTTAGAAAATTTTGATACCTTGGGCGGCATGACATTTTCAAAGTTAATCAATCATAATAATGATTGCCGCCGAACTAGACAGATGCCGATTCTTTGCCCCACTATGTAGATAGCCCCTGATCAGGTGGACTGTCAACTATTGCATAAGGGGTAAGCGTTTAGCATTATTCGGCCGTTGGCTTCTTTTGATTCAATATACTAAGTTTGGTACTTAGTTTATTTCGTTGGGGGATGGCTGGTCATCTGCTTTGGTGGCTGCATAGAAGCAGGCGTCAGACAGGACGTCCAACCAAAGTAGCTACGCCTGTTGGGTTACAGACGGCAACTTTAAGTATAGCCAACCTAGTAAGAATAGTGGTCGAGTACCTCTGTTTACCAAAAAACAGGCGGACTCCTCATACCTTTTAGGTTCCGTACTAAGGAGGGCGACTGGTTAACCTTGCGGTTAGTCAATCACTGCCTATTTTGTTTGAGTGGTAGGGAAACCAGGCGGCGAGGGCCGGATAGTCCCCTTGATTCGCCAAGTTTTTCTTGGCTATTAACTCAAAGGTTGTTAACCTAGCAGGAGTAGTGGTTGAGAGCCCCTGTTTGCTAAAAACAGGTTAGGCTCCATACTAAGTTTGAGAGAGTGAC